CCCGGGGGCATCGCAGCTTGGCTTTGAACGTGGCCCCGCTCCGCCCGGCCGGGGCTGGTGCGGAGCCGGGCCCCTTCCCTCCGCCGGGTCCCACCGAGGGCGCGGGCCCGGCCCGGCTGCAGGGGCAGCGCGACCTCCGCCCCCAGCCAGGAGCCCGGGCCTGCCCGGAGGGACACAGCGCCCCCCGCCCGGTGCACGGCGGAGGGAAGAAGATGGCCGTTGTGATCTAGTATAAAAGCTCTTTGTTGCACCAACACAAAAGCCCAGCGCACGCAGCACTTTCCGTCCAGGGCCTTCAGCAAATGCAGGGAGCTCCCGTAGGCTGGGGTAAATGGGGGGTCCCCCGCAACAACAACAACAAAAGGAAGGGGGAAACTCAGGTAAAAGGGGACAAAAAGTGCGGGGCAAGAGGGGGTAGCGCAGGCTGCAGCCCCGGGCAGGCGGGCGCCCTCCGCCCGGCGCCTGTTCCCGAGGAGGAAACCTAATCCCAGCAGGTCCGCAGCCACCACCAAACACAACAAACCAGTCGGGCCGATGGGCCCGGAGCAGCAGCAGGTCTGTGATCACTTACTTGTCCGTCTCTTGTGACATGTTTGATCCAATGAACTCTCTCCCCTTTCCCGGTGCCTCAGTCTCTCTGGGGAAACTGGACTTTCAAGTCTGTGCAGGTGAAGGTGTGTGAACGCCCGGGACGGCAGAACCAGAGCTACTGGTAATTCCGCTTTCCTTCCCCCGCTACCTCTCCTGCCGCCGAGGAGGTCGGACAGGTAGAGCCCCCTCCCCCTGGCTGCGGAGGAGGCCGGAGCGGGAAGCTGCGGCCCCGCACCCCACAGGTAACTTTCTCAGGAGGAGCCGGATTCTTGCACTCGAGGACAGCAGGCAGGGCCGAGCCGCGAGCTGATTGGACGGAGGCGCGCTCAGGTGAGCTGCCATTGGCAGAGGCGCGCTCAGGTAAGGCCCCTGCCGGGCTCCAGGTAAGTCAGTGCTCGGCGGGGCTGGCCCGGGAGACCTGCGAAGGAAGCTGCGCTGGGAGGAAAGGAGAGGAGAGGAGCTGGGCTGGGCTGGGCTGGGCTGGTTTGGTTTGGTCTGGGTGAGATCCCAGGTCCGTGCGGGTCTCGCCTAGGCGTGGGCCGCTCTGAGCGTGTCTACCCCACGCTAATCCTGCTCCCCGGTGCAACAATCACTTCCCCAACCTGCACACCGCGTGGCGGGGAAGGCTGACGCGGCTGCCTGCAGGGAGAGGATGGATTCCGCCTGGCTACGAGCGTTTATTGACCTCTAAAGAGGGCGGGTTGGCAGTAGTGTCACTAATGCTACCCGATGGACATGCAGGTCTGTTCCCTAATGGCATCTCCCCTCCTTCAGCCTCTGACCACAAGATCTGCAGCCCTGATCAGGCCAGAAAAGGGCACGGGAGAGGTTCTGCTTGGTTAAACATCACTGTGCAGGCTTGTTTGCACCCTGGGAGAGGTAAGCAGCTTGCCTTGGAGCTTTTCCCAGCCAAAGCCTTTTAAAAGCATCCAATGCTCTAGTCACCTTAGCCCCACACATTGCTTGCAAAGGCAGCTGCCCCCAGTCAGTGCCCCAGCAACACCTACTGCCTGCTGCTGCTGGTTCCCGTGCCATGTGACATTCCCCAGGGGAGCAGATCGACCAAGGTGCTGTCATTCTTGCAGAGGCAGGAAACAAGAAATTCTGCCAGCCTCAAACAGGACTGCACATGGTTTGGAACAACCCAGTTCTAAGCCAGTGGCTTTCACAGCGAAGAAGACATATCACCAGGAAAAGAGATCCACAAGGGCAGGAACAAACAAATACAGCTGGATTTGAAGAATGACTAATAGCAGCTGGTGTGGGAGATTTGGCACCATCTTCTAGGCAAATTCAGCCATCCTAGGGGGAAAATAAGAACACTAGAAAGCAAAGCTTGATGTCCTGCTTTATAAACATAAACTTGTCAGAGCCAAAACATTCTATAAAGCTAGGCCATTATATAATATCTTCTTCCACAGGGAAGAAACCTTCACCTGCACAGACTTGAAAGTCCGGTTTCACCAGAGACTGAGACACCAGGGAAGGGGGAGATTGGTCTTATTTCACAAGAGGATATATTAGGTGAAAAGTGTAAATGACTTTTTGAATCCTGGTATCCTTTAGTGAAAGGCCCCAACTCCTCTTTAGAAAGTGGAGTGCATGAGATTAAGTTATCCCTAAAGCATTTTACAGCCTGAATTCAGCGTCAGCCCTGTTCATATGCTGTTTTTTAGTTTTATGAAGGCGTTTATTGAAGAGGGTGTTCCTAGAAATAGTGAATGTTTTGAGCAAGTATTATAACAGATTCAGCTCTGTTCATTCTATGCAATTACAATAGCAAAAAGGCTTCCAGGAAACCAGTTGGGGACAAACCTGAGACTAAGGCCTTGTCTATATCCAAAAATTACTAGCCAAATTTGGTTAAATCAGCATACACCAGATTTAAGTCAATTAAGTCCACAGAACAATTTTCATTAGTTTCATAATCTTGATTTAGACAACTGATTTTTGGATAAAAACTACTGAAACCTGAAATACAGACAGGGCATAAGAGTTATGCACCCACACAGGAAACAGAAACAATACTTTGTAATGTGTATTTCCAATCCAAATGATCAATGCAGATTGAATTCTGAATAACAAATGCTGGCAATAAATTGTGCATTCTCCTGCCCAAAACTTATTCATAAAACCGCTTCTATGAGTAGGATAACAAATTAGAGAAAACCCAAAGTCTGCACAAGCAATAAAGAACATGGATTATTCATTACAACTGACCCCTTTCTAATAACAAATTTTGGTGCCACCATAATAAATCTGCTTGAGCCTCCCAGGGTGTGGGTCTTCAAAAAACAATAAATTATGAACACTAGCCTCATTTTAGTCTATGAACACTCTTACTTATTGCAGCGTGGCCAGGATTTCACCTGTTGGGCCCAGAAT